CTTTTCCGTCCTCCTTAGAGGGCGGACGGAACCCAATCTATTTTCAACGCCGTCCTATTTCATGTTTCTATCTACTTCTTCCGACCGATGAGTATACATCATTCCCCAAACAGGTGTTTGCACTTAGGGGTTCATGCTTGCGTGAGCCATCTCGGGGCCCTCCCCGCAAAATCGCCGCCCGTCGCCGCCCGTCGCCGTTGCCGCCCGTCGCCGCCATCCCCGCCCGTCGCCGCCCGAGCCGCCAGTCGCCGCCCGTCGCCTTCGCCGCCCGTCGCCGTCGCCGCCCGTCGCCGCCATCCCCGCCCGTCGCCGCCCGTGCCGTTCGTCGCCGCCCGTCGCCGTCGCCTCGGGACCATCGCCGCAGAATCGCCGCCATGCCGCCCGTCGCCGTCGCCGCCCGTGACGCCCGTCGCCGCACGTCGCCGTCGCCACATCGCAGACATTGCACCGCATATATTGCATTACATAGGATGCGTCGCTTACGCTGCGCCACGTAGACTGCATTACATAGCATCGCATGCGTTGCGCCACATAGGTTGCACCGCATCGACTGCAGGAAGCTGCTGTTTGGGGTCCGCGCTGGCTAACGTGTATATCTTTATATATGTACAGAGTACACACACATGTACGCGTGTCCTTTTTATCTGTATATCCAAACACGTATTCGCAGATGTACGCGTGCTATCTGTCTACCTGGAGGTGCACTCGGATTCGGGGCCCCCGGGGGCTGGAGGCGTGTCCGCGTCCGCCGCCCGCCCGGGCCCCGCCGCGTGGGCCCCCCCCGGGCGGTGGAGACACGGGCACGCCCCCCGCCCCGCAGCGGGGGGAGGCCTGCCCGCGCCCCGAGCGGGGTGCGCAGCGCCTCGGAGGGGCTCGATGCACAGTCAACCCGCGTACAGTTGGGGCGCTGAAGGGGAGGAGGAGGAGGAGGGAGGGAGGAGGAGGAGGAGGGAGGGAGGAGGAGGAGGAGGAGGAGGAGGAGGAGGAGGGAGATTTTTTGTTTGACATCCACTGCCATGGGCCCGTCAGGCGGGCTGTTGCATCGGAGTTTAAAGGACTCCAATGCCGTCCAGATCCACTGTGACCCCAGGCCTTTTGGGATGGAATCCTTTGCGGAGTCTGGACCAGAGTTCTTTCCTGCGCGAGTTGTGAGTGGCCCAGCTCTTTACAGTAGGGCCTCCATCTACTCGCGCAGGAGGGCGGGCCGAGGGACAGGCCTGACAAGGGTCCCCCAAGCCACGCAGCTGTCCACCGGTGGTGTGAAAGAAGCACAGCTGACAAAAACAAACAAAACTGCCATCGCTGCAGTCTGCTACGATGCATCTGTGGCCAAGATCTCGCAAGCGCTGGGGCGAGACCTTCAACCGAAGAGAGCATTTACCAGACGGCGGCCTGGAAGAGGAGCTAGAGCTCTTCAGGCACACTACACTGCCAGAACTTGCCAGGAGGCTGGTCCCTTGGAAGACCCACGGGCGAAGGACGCTCCCACGGGACCCCGTCCAGGTTGGTTCGGGGCCAGCGGTCCAGGAGATGGGCGGCAAGCTTGGCGACAGCCTTTGAAACTTGCACAGAAAAATTGATATCATCAGCAAATTGCGACGGTAGAGCGGGGTGGAGCTAGCTGCGCACCTGCTTTGGCCGCTTCGTCGGCCAGATTACTGCCACGAATTAGGAGACGAGCATCCCAGTCGAGGCTGGGATCTTCAATAAGGTGGGCCTTCACTTTGGAGACCCTCTCGATATGATTGGCTGCACTGGCACGAGTCTGCAGCATGAGCCCACTGTAGGGCCTTTTCGGAGATAGCTGCTGGCACAGCGGCAAGGAAACATGACCTACTACTGCTTTGCAATCGGATATCAGCTCCGACGGACCTGCAAGAATCGACGTGGTGGCGGCGGGCGCGACATATTCTGCAGAAACACTGGTCTGCGGATACACATTGGACACTGTGCCGTACATTCTAACAAGGATGTGTCCGAGGGGGCTGAGACAAATGGTGCCCCACCCCGATCTACACAGATCTCGAACTGCATGTGGGAAACACAAGCCATCCAGGAAGGTCTTACCTCGAATCTCCTTAAAGCCCCTGGGCCAATAGTTGGCGGGGGGAGCCCCACAGCCTCATAGGCATCTGGAAAAACTTCGAAAAAAACCTTTGTCCTGCGATTCCTGGACCGACAGGGGGGGAGGAGCCTCGGAGGACGGGTGAGGGAACCGACCCGTTTCGCACAGGACTCTGAAACCAGGGATCGTTTCAGCCTCGAGCTCCCTGCGGATACGTGACAGCAAGGCTGGCTTAACCAGCTCCGACCGGTCGTCCTCGCAGGCTGGACAGTGCCACAAGCGGTGAAGGACGGTGTCACCGTCGGCACCGCACAGGACGCACCGATCCACAACATCGTATCCGAGGAGCTTAGCACGATTTAAAGGCCAGAGGCCCTGGCAGGCCAGGGTGCGTATGCAGCCCTTTTGTTTGGGCGAAAAACCTTTGGAATTCAACGAAGTGCACAACACATCGAAGCACAACCTGGAGCCGTTGCCGTACTTATAACCGGCCTCATTTTCGAGGGCCCGAAAAATTGCACCTGGAGGAGGAGGAGGAGGAGGAGGAGGAGGAGGAGGAGGAGGAGGAGGAGGAGGAGGAGGAGGGGGAGGAGGAGGAGGGGGAGGAGGAGGTAGGGGGGAGGAGGAGGAGGAGGAGGAGAAGGAGGAGGAGGAGGAGGAGGGGGAGGAGGGGCTCGATGCACAGTCAGCCCGCGCAGTAAGGATGTCAAGCAGTGGCGAAGCGTCCCGGCTTGTCTAGAGCCCTACCGAGCAGTGTTCTAAGAACCTTGTTTGTGGTTTCCACGAGATGTTCTTAGATCATTTCTGGCGGAGCCTGTCTTGTGTTATCACATCGGGTTGATGTTCTAAGAACATTGCTTTTGTTCTTAGAACATGTTTGGGTTCTACGAACATTTTCGTGGTAGGACTATAGAAATGCGTACAGCTGGGGCGCTGAAGAAGGAACCCTTTCCGTTGGGGAGGGGCTCGGTGTTCCTTTATTGTTTTGCAGTTTGCCTTGGAGTTTCTAAAGGTTTCCCATGTGAAGTCGAAGTTTAGCCTATGGGACAGAGGGGCCTGGTTCCTTATTTAGGGTTCCTTAGGTCAATGCCCCGACTGTAGTAAGGATGGACAGCCTTCCCAAGGGTACCCTTGCATCCTTGCCCCTTCGGCCCATCCTTAGCGACCCTCGTTGGCCGACCTCGTTCGAAAAACGCCGACGTGGCCCTCCAAGGCCCTTGCATCCTTACTGCGCATCCTTGCGATACGGGTCGACTTTGCACACTGCGCCGCTTGGTCGGCCAAGGAGCCAAGGAGTCGTCGGCGGCGAGCAAGGGGGGGGGAGTGAGAAGGAGAAGGCCTGCTCCTCCTCCTTCTCCTCCTACCCTCCGCCTCCTCCTCCTCCTCCTCCTCCTCCTCCTCCTCCTCCTCCTCCTCCTCCTCCCTCTCCTCCCCATGGTAATGGCGGTGGTGGAAAATCGCCCCATCAGGGAAGTGAGAAGGAGAAGGCCCTCTCAGAAGGCGGCGGGGCTTCCCAGAAGCCCTCGGCGCCCTACGAGGCGTTTTCTGCGTCTTCGGGGAAGGCTTAGAACACCTTTCACAAGGCAGGAGGACTTCCGAGCCTTCTGAGAAGGCCCGCCCCTTTTCACGTTTCCCCGGGCACCCCGCCGAAATAAGGGAACCAACAGCGACAGAAACATAGAAACTCTGAGGTCCGCGCGGATTCCTCAGAGCGGCGCTGGTGGCCCCTGGCGGCGCCTCTGGCGCCGCCACTGGCGCGCTCCGCGCGCCAGGGAGAGGGGGTTCCAGCGCCGATCCGAGAAATCCGCGGACCTGAGCGTTTTCATGCTTTTGTCGTTGCTTGCTCCCGTACGGAGTCTGACGAAGGAGTTCGGCGTGTACAGTAGGGGCTCGACCGCAAGAAGCCTTCCACACGAAACCCAACCCTGAGACCTCAGGACATCCGTTGATTTTTGGTGTGGGAGTGTCACGCTTCCCGCAGCAAAACCATAGAAATTCAAGACACCCAGGGCACCTTGGAGGCAAGCAGGGTGTTTCTTGGCATGGGTCTCCACTTTGGCTCAGCGAGTCGTTCCGCCGATACTTAGCCACCGCGCTTCGGCGCAGCACGATGTTCACGTCCAGCCTTTCGAGCGTCTATGTCCCGAGCTCTCCCCGACGCCCGTCTTCGCGGAGCAGAGCAACACGCTGTCCGCTCGCAGGGCAAAGCGTGTCGCCGGGGCCGCCGTGGCGACAAGCGACATGTGCAGAGGGTAATTGAACGCTCCAGCGTCTCACCAGATGGGAAGCGGGGACGTCTATGCACTGAGCGCGCCTCGGCCGAGCAGACGGCTTGGTGTAATTCTCCGAGCCCCTCCCAATGAAGGAAAGGGGTCCTGCGGTTCTTTCGCCGATTCTGGCATCCCTGGGGCTCTCCGTGGTTGACAGGACCGTCAAGAAATGGCTCAGGGGGGTTCAGACGTTAGAGCCCTCGGACCCGATTCGTAAGAGCTTGATCATGGACACCTTGTTGAACGCAACCAACCCGTTTTCTCACCGAAGACGCCAGAAACCACTGGAGACCGCCGAAGTCTGTCATTTGAAGACCGCCAGAGACCTCTCGAGACCACCAAGGGCCGATGGGCAATAAGGGGTCCACGGTCGAATGCTCCGAGGCAGGGGTTTCCCAACGACCATCGCCTGCGGGATCGATCTTCGGGGATCTCGGCATTTGGGTGATATGGATATGTTCGGGCCCTTGGGGAGGGGGGGAGGGGCAGGGGGGGGCAAATATCTCTGTATACGTCAGAGAGTGGCCGCAGGTTTCATCGTTGAAGGGCTCGGGGTTTCAAACGACGTTCAAACCTTTCCGTATCCATTTAAGCTCGAGGGCTTGTGCTGAATTGAGGCTACCACGGGCGGTCCCCGGCGGGGGATGCAAGCGGCGCTGGCCGAGGCTCTGGTGCGGGAGACGCTCCACTGGGTCGGCCTCGCGCAGGTGCTGGCGTCGAGTCGGTGCCCAGAGGTGCCGGCCTGCCCGCCGATCCCGTCGTGCCCGGCCCTGCCGGAGATTCCCAGCTGCCCGGCCTGCCCGGGAGCGCCGCCGTCCCCCGCGCGGCCGTCCGCGCCGCCCAGCTCTGGCGGCTGGGCTCTCCCCCTGGCGGGTTTCAGCCTCGGGGGCCTCCTGGTCGCGCTCGTCTTCCTGGCCGCCGGGCGCTGGGGCAGCACGAGACGGTCGGCAGCGGCGACGCCGGCGCCGGGGCTGGAGGATGGCCGCGCTGGCGGCGCCTGCACTCCCGTCCCCGGCCCTGGAGGAGTGGGCGTTCGTGCTGTACACAGTGGCGGGGCCCCTGGTGTACCATCAGCGGCGGGTGCTGGGTTGCAGGCGCGCGGCGTGCTCGGCGACTGAGCTCGGCCGCGTGATCATCGGGACGCCGGACCTAGACGTGCACGAGGAGTACTACAGGACGGGGTCCCTCGGCGTGGATGCGGCGCGGGTCGTGTTCAGCAGCGAGCGCTGGCCACCCCCAGCTGCCGCGCCGCGTGCCCAGGTGTATCGCTTAATTCAGGGACGAGCCCACCGGCCTGGAGTACGCGGCGATGCGGGGAGCGGCCCGTGTGGAGGCTAACCGGCTCTGGGCTGCCCTGGGGGCGCCGGGGGCCCGATCCCGGCGAACGACGAGGCCATCGCCGGCGTGGTGGCGGAGCTCGGGGCCGCGGCGGGGCCGGCGCCCCAGGGGGCTGGCGCGGGCCCGGCGCTGCTTCCAGTGCCCATCGCCGCGGGCCCCGCGCCAGGCGCCGCGCCGGCCGCCGAGCCGGACGCGGCCGTGGCACCGGCGCCGCCTGTGGCCGTCGCGGCCCAGGCCGCGGGATCGGGCCCGCCCGCGCGTGCGCCAGCCATCCCAGACGGGCTGCTTGTGGTCATCCCTGCCAGCGGGCTGGCCCCCTTGGGCTGGAGCTGGCGCGCGCTGGAGGACCTGGCCGGGCTGGTGACGCACGGGCAGGTGGTGGACGTGGGGGCTCCAGGAGGCCCCACCCTGGGCGGCGGGGCTGGTCGGCGCCAGGTGGCGCTGCTCCCCAGCGGCCACTCGGTCTTCGTGGCACTCGTGGCGGACACGGAGGTGGACCACCTCAAGCGTGAGTTCAGGGGCTCGGACGCGCGCGCGCTGCCGGTGATGCACACCGCGGTGGGGCGCGAGCGGGCCTGGACGTCCGTCATCGCGGACTGCCGCGAGGAAAACATCCCGGCTTTCGGCGCGAAGGCCCCTAGATCGGTGAAGTGGTGTGCGGCATGCCAGCACCGCGATGGCGGGCCGATCTTGCACTCGGAGATGTAGAGGGCGCGCCGACGGCTCCAGGACAGCGACTTCGGCGTGTCAGAGCGCGAGACGTTGAGCAAGGTCGTGGAGATGTTCGGGACCGTCGGCCAGCTGGACCTCTACAACTTGGCGGGGGTGGAGGTCGCCTACCGCAAGCTCCAGCTGATAGAGTACTACTGGGACGAGCGCCGCCAGGAGCAGCAGCAGGCCAACGCCAAGATGCCGCTGGACGAGGTGCAGGCCTTCTTGGGCGGAGGCCGCGCCGCCAGCATGGAGTGCCCCGAGCTTCTGGAGCAGGTGTCGAAGGAGCTGGAGAGGATTGCGGGCATCAAGAAGAATGCGAGGAAGTTGCGGGAGGAGCAGGCCGCCTTGGCCAAGAAGGCTCCTCCCGCGAAGTCATGATGCAGTTCGCGCCGCCGGGGCTCCCCCACCCGTGCGGCGAGCCAGAGGGGGTGCGGTGGCCGGCGTGGATCGCAATCGGTCCCTGCTGCCGCTGCCGCTGCCGGCCTGGCGCTCGGCCCCTGCTGGGCGCTCAGGCGGGCGTCGCGGACGGAACCGCGCTGCTGGGCGGGCGCGCCAGGCGGGCCTACTTCGAGACCTGACTCTAACACTGAGTCAGATGGATGCTGGTGAGGACCAGCTCCAGCGCCGGCCTTTGCCAACGCCCTGTCACATCCAGGAGCTGGCTCTCGCTCACCTCGCCAGCTGCTGCGCGGAGCTAGGCAGCCCACCGCCTGAGCTCACGGCCGACGCGGCCCTGCGGGAGCTGCAGGTCTGTCCAGCTTATGGGGCAGAAGAGCCCCAGACGCTGGCCCCTTTGACAGTCGACCTCGTCTCGCTTCGAAAGGCGGGTGACGTCGCGCGCTCTCTGGAGGAGCTCTCGGACGGGATGGCCCCAATTTTGTCAAAGTTCTTCTCGACAGCAAGGTTTTGCCAAGTCGGCTTGCTGCGGAGCGGAAGGCCGCCGCAAAGTTCTCGAAGCCCTACCTCGACCCCTGCCTCCGAGAGCCGGCCCGCCGCGCGAAGTTCACCCGGCGGCTGCTGGAGGCAGGGATGCTCGACCTTGTTCCTGAGTCGGTCGAAGCACGCGAGGAAGTGGTTTTGTTCACGGTGTGGAAAACGAAGAATGGATCACAGAGACGAGTGGTAGACTGCCGTGGAAGCAACTTTCGCTTTGAGGATCCCGAGCGCGTGGATCTCGCCTCTGGTGCCAGCTTGTCCTCAACCGAGATTCCTGGAGGACAGGATTTGTGGATGTCCGGCGCTGATATCTGTGGCGCTTTCTATCGCATGGGCATCCCCTCTGCCCTCCGTCCTTTCTTCTCCCTCCCTCGCGTCCGTGCTGGGGCCGCGTGATAGGGTGGGGCCCAGATTCGCTGTCCTGCCCATGGTCTGGTCGCGCGCTATAGCTTCCTGTCAACGCGTGCACGAGATTGTTCTGAGAGAGCGAGCGGGGTTTGGGGATAACGATCGCCTCGTCGACGGGCGGGCCCCTCCTCCGCTAGGCCTTCGGATGCACGCCGCATATGTCGATAATGTTTTAGGCTTCGCCACCTCCGCCGAGCGGGCCGACGAGCTCCTCGCGCGCGCGACGGAGTCGCTGTCCAAGGCGGGCCTGCCTCTTCATGAGCCTCTGGAGGCCTCCTTGACTTGCGAGAGTCTTGGTTGGGAATTCGAGGGCTCTCGGGGCGCGCTGCAGCCGCGGGCCCGTAGGCTCTGGCGTCTTGGGATCGGGGCGTTGGCCATATTCGACAAAGGAGTAGCCGCAGGTAGACAGATCAGTCGGATTGTAGGTCATTTCACGTTTGCGGAGCTCGCTGGGGCGCCCTTTTTGTCCATCTTCGATGCGGCGTATCTCTTCGCCACTAAGCACAGAGATGTTGCTCGCCCGTTGTCGGACGGAGTTCGCCGGGAGCTTCGCTGGGCCGTAGGATTAGCGCCTCCTCTGCGGGCCGATCTGCGGGCCGAGTGGGAGACAAGGGCGCGCGCTACCGACGCGAGTGAGCAGGGCCGTGGGGTCGCGCATCGGGAGGTTGACATGGGCGCGGTCTCTGGGCCGGGAGAACGATCGCTGGAGGTTCCGCGGCCCGCCAGGGCCTGAGGGACAGACGCGGCCGATGGGGCTGCCTGGGCGAGGAGCCGTCCGCGGGCCCCTGCAGGCCCAACCCTGTCCAGGACCTGCCAGCGGCGGTGCTCGACGGGGAGTGGCAGGCCGTCTCGAGCGGGGGCTGGGGCCGGTCCGAGCACATCGCGGTTCTCGAAGGTCGGGCCCTCGTGCATGCCGTTCGCTACGCCCTAAGAGACAGCCGGATGTTCGGGAAGCGGGTGCTCTTCTTGTCGGACAGCCTCTCGTCGGTCTTGGCTCTAACCAAGGGGCGCTCTTCCTCGCGTGGGCTGGCGCGGGGCGCTGCGCTGGCTGCAATCCTGCAGATGCTCTTTCGAGGCGGCGCGTGCCCATCGGCGTGCGCCTCCCCTTCGAGCGCGGCGCCGACGCTGCCGAGGGGCGCCGCTGGCCGACTCGTGACGGAGCCGAGGGCAGCCGTCGACGGGACTGTCGGAGCGCTGCCGAGGAGCTCCGCGAGCTGGACGCCGGCGAGTCCGCCGGCGCCAGTCTTGCCGCGAGGCGACGGCGGCGGCGCGCAGGGCACGCGCTCGGCGAGGGAGGCCAAGCGGCGACGGCTCACGGCCCGCACGCCGCGGGCCGACCCGCCGACGTCGGCGCGGCCGCCGCCCCAGTTCGGCGCCCGTCGAGCGTGCGCCGAGCGGCGGCAGCGGCTGGAGGCCACTCGGGCAGCGCCCCCAGCGGGCCGGGCCCGGCTGCAGCAGAGGTCGGTGACGCCGCTGACCCTCGCCAAGTGCGAGCTGGCCTGGGGCCGCTTCCTCGAATGGCGCCGTCTGTCAGTCGCCCCCGAGGCGACCCAGCTGCGGGGGCGCCATGCCCAGGGGGCGCCGTTCGAGGACCTCCTCGACGACTGGCTCGCGCTCTGGATGGACGAGGAGTACCTGAACGGCGAGCCGGCGCACGTCGGGTCGCACCTGATGGCCGTGGCGAAGTTCTACCTCCCAGACTTCGGCAAGTCAGGGGGCCGCCGCCTCCCGCGGGCAGGGCAGACTCTCCGTGAGAGGCGCCGGCTCGCACCCGGGCGCGCCCGCCTGCCCCTGCCGCTGGAGGTGGTGGCGCTGCTCGCCGAGCGGCTGGTGCTGGGCGGGTACTGGGCGACGGCCGTGCTGGTGGTGCTGAGCTTCCACTGCTACTTCAGGCCCAGCGAGGGCTTCAAGCTGACGCGGGAGATGATGGTGCCTCCCCATCGGGGGGGGGCCGGTGCGGCAACGTCCCTGGCGCTCCACCCGTGTGAGTTCACGGTCGCAAGCAAGACGCGCCAGTTCGACGAGTCCGCGGCGGTGGACGCGACGGGCTTCAAGCTGCTGCTCGACCCCGCGCTGGCGTGGGTGAGGCTGAGCACGCCTCCAGGGCAGCGCGCCTTCGCGTTCAGCCAGGCCGACTTCATCCAGAGGTTCCGGCAGGCTGGGCAGAGGTGCGGCCTGGAGGCGCTGAAGCCCGAACTGTACGTGCCGAGGCACAGCGGCCCGTCTTTCGACCAGGCGATCAAGTACAGAACGCTGGCGGAGATAAAGCTGCGCGGGTGTTGGATGAGCGACGCCGCCGCGCAGCGATACCGCAAGGAGGGCCGAGTGTCGGAGCAGCTCCATCGCCTCCCACGGCACGTGCTGGCGCGGGCGATGGGGGCGCCGGCCCGCCTGAGGTCACTCCTCGGGCGGCCTTCGAGCGCCTTCTTTCCGCCCGCCGCGGGTCGACGCAGCAACCGCAGATCTTTTCAGATATCTTCTTTGGCTGTGGCCAGCTCTCCGCTGAGCTCAGGAAGCTGGGCTACCTGGTTCTGGAGTGGGACGTGCTGCGGGGCCCGAGCTGGGACTTGACGCTCAGGAGCAAGCAGCGGCTCATCCGCGGCTGGATCGCCGCCGGGCGCATCTGGGGCGCGCGCCTGGGGACGCCGTGCAGCTCCTGGAGTCGTGCTCGCGACCGCGGGCCGATCCGCGTCCCAGAGCGGCCGCGGCCTGGCCCCCCCCTCGCGGCTGCGCAGCGACGAGCACTTGCTCGGCCTTCCTGAGCTGCGTCATCCCTCCGACCTGGAGGCCGTTCGAGTGGGGAACGAGTTCGCCCGGCTGAGCATCAGCATCATAGAGCAGCTCAAGCATCAGCAGCGACCGGCTACCCTAGATAATCCATCCTCATCAAGAATCTGGCTGCTCCCTCGGCCCCTCAAGGCAAGGTCGTGGAAATCGGCCACCTGCATCGATACCTGCTACTGCATGTTTGGGGAAAGATGGAAGAAGCCCACGTGTTTCTTGGGCTGCCGCATCGACCTGACCGATATCCAGAGGATTTGCACTGGAAGAAAATGCTTTCATACTGGTCTACCTCATCTTACCTTGTTTGTCTTCGACGGTCCGCGAGGATGGCGCACAAAGAAGGCTGAGAAATATCCCATTTAGTTGTGCTCCCGTTTGGCCCGCGCTTTTTCAAACGCTCGTGCTGCTTCAGACATTCACAACTATTCTCGCATGTGGTTAGGATATAAATGTTTGTGTGGCCGCCCGTGGGACAAGACCCTGCCCGCCCACCCTGAGACGCCAAATTTTGGACAAGTGCGGAAGAGTCGTGCCCCCTTGGGACCCTCGAGGCTTGCCGATCAGCATTCGGCCTCGTTCTGTTGGGCCCACGGCGCACTTGCCTTTAAGCACCGGCGGCGTTTCTCCGCAACAGAAGAGATGAAAAAAAGGATCGTCTGTCTGCTGGTCTCTGTGTTTCCACCTTGGCCACGGTTTAGAGCTGCTAAGGCATGTATACTGTTTCACTGTGAAATGCAGTGCAGCGTCAGAGAGCGGCCGCATGTTTAATCGTTGGAGGGCTCGGGGCTTCAAGCGACGTTCAAACCTTTCCGTATCCGTTTAAGCTCGAGAGCTTGTGCTCCCAGCCCACCCTCCCAGGAAGAGTCGTGCCCCCTTGGAACCCTCGAGGCTTGCCGATCAGCAGTCGGCCTCGTTCTGTTGGGCCCACGGCGCACTTGCCTTTAAGCACCGGCTGCGTTTCTCCGCCACAGAAGAGATGAAACAAAAGGATCGTCTGTCTGCCGGTCTCTGTGTTTCCATCTTGGCCACGGTTTAGAGCTGCTAAGGCATATATATATGTGTATATATACATATATATATACACATATATATATATATACATACACACATATATATATATATATATATATATATATAGTTCCACCGCTCGCCGAGGTCCCTGGAGGTGAGCCCCCCGGTGGTGGTTACGAGTAACCCCCGCCATGCAAGTGCGCAGCGGTTCCCTCATG